CCATGGCTAGACATAGACAGGAAGTTACCAGGCGCGTAGACCGGCATTGGTATGAAACGGACAGAGATGAAATGAGTGCCTATTTCGGTGTTATCATAAATTAGAAACCAAGTGAATTGTAAATAAAATGTGTTGATTTTTTTTAAATGAAATGAAACTACAGTGTCCCAGTCTTCTTTTCCCTGTGTACATGTCAACCTACCTGGCTCACACTGAATTGGTAAAAAGTTTTGGGTAATGGGAGTACAAATATGCAAATTAGTAATGGGCCCTGCAACATTGTTGCAACAAAGTATCTATGGTGTGCAAAGGGTTAACGGTAAGTATTGAGATTGCTATGAATGTTCTTGTTACACGTTATGTATGCTTCGCTATGAGGTGGCACACATGGTAGCAGAAGAATTGAGCCAAACAGAATCATAAGATTGGTATATGTATTTCTTCTTTTAGGCGCTTTCAGGGAGTTATTAATAGAATTTACAGTGGTATTCAGTGCTCATCATGCGGTTTAAGGTTCATGCCGATAGAGATGGACAGGTATGCAAAGCATTTAGATTGGCATTTCCGGTTGAACCGACGAGAGAAGGATGGTGCAAAGAAAGCCACATCAAGAAAATGGTATTATAAAATTGATGAATGGATAAAGTTTGAAGAAATTGATGACTTGGAAGAAGGAGGTATGAATGCAAAATTTAATTTCATTATCCCCTCGCTACATTAGCAGGGAGTATAGTGCTTGCTAACATATTTGTATGAAGTTGTATCAGGAACACTGTTGCAGATAGATTTAGATGTTCACACAGTGTTATATAGAAGACATTGTATACAAATTGGTTCAACATATTTAATAACCATATGTAGTTTTGTGACCTCATTAAAAATGCATAAATATCTGGAGCACTATTGCAGATAGACATTTAACTAGTGCTAAAAGACATTGGGCATGTGATGTGACCTCATTGAGAATGCTATCATATTTGGAAAACAATTGCAAATATAGGCAATTAACTATTGCTCATAATAATAAAGAAGCCTAGGATCTGCCATCTCTGATGGCTTTCTTTTTTTTCTTGTACCTAATCATCATATGATTTGTTTATTATTTGATTCCAATAGCTCGAAGTGAATTCTTTGAGCTGCAGGCTAAACTAGGAATAACTGATATCATCAAAAAATCACTTCCATCAAGTATTCCTGTTACTGGTGATGATAGTAACGATGAGGTAAGTAACAACACATGTAAGCCGTCACTGTCTTTATTATACATGAAAGGGGATGGATACTTTTTTTGTAGGTTGTTCCTGTGTAGTATTAAAATAAAAAGAACAAATTGTGTCTCACATTTTTATTTAAGTTTAGTAGTCAGTTAAGAATAGATATCGTCATAATTATAATTCTTCTCAGATCTGTTAAACACATCAGTTGAAAGCAATACAGATAGCCAAAATGAATGAGAAAGACCAGCATTAACGAGTGATGTGTCAGCGTGCTGATAATGTTTGTCTAACATATTCTTGAGCCACTTTGTCCACGTTCACAACATGTGATGGTAGCGAGTTCCATTCCTGAACAGTTCTCATCACATATTTCTTGTAAAGCTTAAAGAACATGCCTTGACACTGGTTGCCCATTGGGACAATTTGTATATACAATATTTATAGTTGTAGTGGTAAAAAGTTCAGTTTTAAACATTGCTACTTACCTCCAGATACTTGTAGACATACTAGTAGACCAGTCATTCATAATATTTGTTTTGATTAAAACTCAATAATAATAATTATTAGACAACTACATTTTCATGTGGACAACCAGGTTTTTTAGAGTCATGCACTGGACAACCAGTTTTTTTAGCTCTGCTGTCGACTTTGTCGAGCGGAACTTATCATATGAGTGATTGTCCGTCGTCGTCCGTGTCAATGTTTTACTTTTTCGACTTCTTCTTGAAAACTACAAACCTGAATGCTTTGATACTTGGTGTATATGTACCTTGGGTAGACCTCTCTTAGGTTTGTTCATTTCATGTTGATATCTTCAATTCTCTAATTTTGGTGAA